TTACTATTTTTCGAGCTCTTACTCAGTAAGTTATTAACTAGTCTCCACTCGTTCTTTATATCACCATTACATTTAACGAATTCATTACGATAAAATCTTTCACGGCATTCAGAAATTTCAGTTTTTATTAATTTGCACAGCTTTTTGTAACGACTTTTAACCTAGAATTAGATGGATGTTTATATAATTTGATACATAATTTGTTCTTTAATTTTACTTTTCTCAACAAAATATCATTCATCCACGGTTTTAACTTTTTATTTTTCGCACGAGGACTATAACTAAATGTACATTGGGAAATATAACTGCTTAAAATTTCAATGAATTTATTATATGCTGCACTAGCATTTTGTTCATTATAAACATCATCCCAAAATTCAAAAATTAGCATATTGTTCAGTCTATTAAAATCTATTTTTGAAATCACAGCAGTATCAGGAGTATTTTCTTTTTTTCAACTATTACCGATTTAACAAGAAGTCCAGTCATACAATGATCTGTAATTTCAAAATTAAAAATTCCCTTTTCACATGACTGCAAAGGAATAGTATCGAAACGACCATGAATATGATCTAGGCAAGAGCCAGAACTAATCCTAGTCGGTTCATTAATAAAAGGAAATAAACCATTTTCGGTTAGAATTGAAAGATAATAGTCAACATTTTCAGAATTAGATAGAGAATCTAGATTAAAGTCACCAACAATTATTAAATTAGAGGAATTTACGTTATATAGCAAATTTTTGAGCTCATTAAGAAATATATTAACTGAACAACTATGTAATCTATACACACATATAAAAGAAAACGAAATATCCTTAATTTTACAATCAAGCACCATACCACCAGCAGCATACGACTCGTTAGTATTAGCAAAAAATGTATAATTAGGAATATTGTACTCCATTAATTAGTTCTCAAAAACCCAAATTTCAGAGACAAAAATAAAGTCCGGCTTGTTAATAAATGTTTCTAAATGTACTAGCAACAAATCAAAGTTTTGTCTAAGGCTTCTTATGTTTTGATGTAATATAAAAAACAAATTAGTGGTAGAGGAAAATCTAAAAACACTACTACAATTTAAGCCACAATTACCACTATAACTATTATCAAAATCTAAATCTAAGTTATTTTGTTGAATTATCATTTACCTAGGGGTTTCATATGGTTATATAAAGCCAGTCTTGTCCTTTGCAGATGCTCTCTGTACTTGCTTTCATGTGACTTCTATTGGTCTTCAAGTTATTAGCAACTTGCTTCTGAGAAATCCCCATTTTTTCGTGATATTGATCATAGATATTTCGTATCTTAATTAAGTCTGTTGGTAAAACTTCTTGGTTGATTAAAACTTTAATATTCACTTGAGTTATACCATCGACACATACATCATTTTGATCAAATAGGTATGCCAAGTAAAGTCTTACATTACTGTATATTCTATGATCTCTCAGTCGCGAAAGTACATACATGCTATCATCTTGCTCAAGCGCTTTTTGGGTTAATTTGGCAATTGGTATGAATAACGGACTGATATAGCTGGATTTTATATTATCATTTGTAGCAACACTTGGTTTTGTTTGAATGCATGGATTAAGTGTTTCACCTTGTATCCAATTGGATTACTTTTCCAAATTATTATTAGCTGACGTACTTCTAGTATTAGTTATTGGATCAGCAATTTTGGATCTACTACCATTCACAACCATATTGCATGCAAAGTCACTATTATTATTACTGTAATTATTGTTGTTATTATTGTTCGTATTGTTATTGATGATATTATTACTTTTATTGTTATTATTATTATTACCATTAATTTTTTTGTTATTATTATTGTTATTCATATGCTTACATTTACACTTTATTTTCGAAAAGCATGTATTCAGCACTTTTTTGTTGTACATAAAGAGTGAACTTCTGGCTAATGAACTAACATTTCCAGCTGTTTTATTTTTTTAATTTGTTGTCATTAACCGATTTTCTAATAAACAATCTTTTTTGGAAATTGTAATACTTGATACTGATGTTTTTATTTTTTCAAGTGAATCAAATAGGTGGGTATGTTGACATGTTTTAAGTACAGCATTGCTAGTTGGATCAACTTCATTTAGCAGTAATTGCTAATATCCAATTTTCTTTTTCAGCATGTTTAGTTTATTTAAATAAACTGGACATTTTTTGCTTTGTGTTTCATGAGTGGCATCAAGGTTAAGTTTTAACCTCTCATTCGCAGCTAAGCAGTTAATATATTTATTAACTTTCTCCTTTTTGCACTTACTGTTTTTGTGTTTACCTAAACAATTAACACACTTCTCTTCATTTTTGCATTCAGCCGTCTTGTGATTGAATCCATGACACTTAAAACACCGAAGCACTCTCAACGCGTCGAATACCTTGCAGCGTTCCCAACCTATAGAAACTTTTTCATTTTGCAAAGCTTTAGGAAAAGATTCTTTATCAACTTCGACAATAGCATTATATTTTTCTTCACCCTGCCTTTGTACTTTATATATCTTAATCATTTTCATTTCACTCGCTTCAAGATGATGGTTTTGCGCTTTCAATTTGGTTATTAACTCAACTTCTAAGTACTGTGTGCCAATGTGCACTATTTCAATTTTAGGTTTTATTTCAGAAGGAATTTTGACTACATAGTTCTTATCCAGGTTACCCTCAAGTACAGATTTAATTTTCTTCCTCTCTAGATTATCATCAGTTTCAACAACAATCACACCGTTCTTTCTATTTTCAATATTTTTTGTTTTAAAGTCTTTTGGATCGACCTTCTTATTTAAATCTGCTCTTATAACATTACACTTTTGTTTTAGTATAGGTTTGTTAATCAAAGGTAGTTGCTTTTTTATTTGCGGAAATTTTTTATTTGCATCAGCATTTTTTACAATATCCAAGAATAAAATATTTTCACCTATATTTAATTTGACCTCATTTGCTTTTACTTTTTTAAATTCACTTCAAAGTTCATCTGACTTCAATAAACTTTTGTTTACAACTGTATTCAATTTTTCAGTGTCCGTTTTGAATAATTCGGCTATTCTCGATACTTTACCAAAGTCTTTTTGTTGAGCACTTTTTATACTTTCTAAGCGCTCCAGGTACCTATCTTCAATGACCTAGCTTCACGAAGCAAATGAAGTACCTAGCTTCATTTTTTTTATCGCATTCTCGAATTCTTGTTTACATTCATTTAAATAATCATTATTTTTTTTTACTGCGCAATCTATATTTTGTGAAATCATATCAACATTTTGAATATATAAAACGCTGATGTGTTTATATCTAACAAGTCCCAATACTCAATTTTTTTACGAAATATTACGAATTTTTGGCTTCGTTCCTGTTTTTTTCTTTAAATGCTACTGATCGTGTCATATTTTTTATTATTTTTTTCTTTTTTTTACGTAAAAAAGAGTTTAATATTTTAAAAAATCTCAGGATAATATATACATTTTTTAAAAAGCTCCCCATTAAAATTCTGTTGCACGAAAAAGAAAGAAAGGTAGGAGGAAAGATAAAATGAAAAAAAATTTAAAATTTATACTTCAGTATGGTTTCAAATGTTAATGAGAAAGGATGTATGATTTTTCATGCATATTTTGTATTTCCCAATAAGGTAAGTTGAGTAGTGTCGGCTAACAAAAATGTTAATAAAAGTAATATAAGTTGACACATTTCAACAATTTGAATTATCTCATTTCGGTTATTTATACGTTACTTATAAAATTGTTTCAAATTATTTCAGTTAGTTTTTAAGTTATTCAAAATAAATATGTATGTCCAATCATTTTTTTTTTTAAATAGTTATTTTAAAACTATTTCAAACATGTTATATTGAGTGTTTCAAAAATTTTGTTGTGCACTTCTTTCATATTTCATTAGCAGGTAAACAAGAGCACTCTATTCATAAAATGGCCCTGCCTGTGTATGAGTCTTAATAGTAAACGCAAACGGACAAAAATTTATATCAGTACTTACTACCTGTCATTTTACAATCGGAGTTTTTGAGTCATTTGCTACATTTGCTACTCGTAATATACTATTTATTTCAAAAATAAAAAAGATATTCGAATCCGGTCATAAAATATATTATTGCCTTTTCCAAAACCTTTTAAATATTTTTTTACTTAGGTAAAATTTTTTCTCACAAATAGAGGTAAAATTTAGAAGTGTATATAAAATTTGTATCTAAAAAATTATATTTGTATTTTAGATATTATTTTCTAATTCCCTCTCCAAATTTTTTCTTTACTATGTATTTATATCAATATTTAATAATTATTATTTTTCATTTATTATATTTTCAACTTGACACCACAGTTACTTCCCATATCTTGAGTTAATTTACCCTATGAGAAAAATAAAAGCTGTTCCCTTAAAAATAATGAAATGCTTTCAGTAACATATAAAACGTTGAAGGCGAAGGTTGTGCTTGTTGTTTTTCTGCTGTTTCAAGAATTTTAAAATAATTATGAATGAAAATATTAATATATTTTTCTGATTTTTCAAATATATTTTCTAAATTTTACCTGCTTTATAATAAATGCGAATTTATTTTAATATTTCTTTTCAAAAAATAACCACTTCGATTTAAAAAAACCCATATAAAAGAAGGTCGTGCTTTCAAGTTTCTCTCTGAGCGTTGGAACTTGTTAGATATAAAGACATTAAATACACAATCGTCGCAAATGAATTTAACAGATTTATTTGCGTCTAAAACGTTGCTTGCTGCTGGATCTAAACCACTGCATTTTATAGCGTTATGATATGTTTTACCACATACCCCCGCACGCCTTATACCGGTCTCACCACTGATCTGGTTCGACATTTGTTACATTCAGCCATTAGAGCTGTTGAAATCCCAATATAAACAGGAACAACTATTTTAACTCAATAAACGTTATTTATTAATAAAATTTTTTTTCGAGAGTAATTAACACGTCCGATTACTATGTAAAATTGATAAGTCAATGAATTTATGAATTATTATGATTATTATGATTATCATTGTGATTAGTATTATTACGATTATTAGTATTATTATTATTGTTACTATTATTATTAATATTATTATTATTATTATTATTATTATTATTATTATTGTTATGATTACGATTATTATGATTATTATTATTATTATTATTATTATTATTATTATTATTATTATTATTATTATTATTATCATCTTCCACATTATACTTCATACCGAAAGGTTGTTTAATTAATTTATGGAAAAAATTTAATTTTAAATTCTGATTCTCAAATTTCGTAATATAATTTGAGTAAAACAAAAAAAAAATATAGTTGTTACAAACAACTACAGACATGGCAGAGGATTGCACAAAATGTAATACAAAAATCAAAGGTGAAACGGGCATAAGATGTGCTGGAGTGTGCGCCAAGGTGTACCATTCAACTTTGAAATGTTCCGGTTTGGATCAATACCTGAGCAATGTTCTGGACACAAATAAAAGAGTGAAATTCATCTGTGATGACTGTGTACAATACATTCAAAATGTGGATTTGGTGTTACAAAATATGGAAAGAACGGTTGATAAAAATTGTTCATATTTGAAAGAATACAAAATGGAATTTGAAGATGCGTTGAAAAAAACCAAATTGGAAATAATGCAGCTCCTCAAAACAATAGAGAGCAGCTATATGAACAGATTGGAACGAATGAAAAAAAGCCAACAAAAGGAAATGGAAAAAATTGCAAAATTCACAGAAATGTTCAAAACGGAGAGCGAGAAACTGAATGCTGGCATAAAAAAAACAATAGTAAAAAATGATGAATTATGTACCGAGTTAAAACAAATAAATGTGAATGAAATTAATGTAGGTGAATGCATGTCATTTTCAAACGTTTTAAAGCAAGGTGCAAACGTTAGC